CCAAATGGACATGTTTAGCAAAACAACTTTCAAGGGCTGAAATAATCCATTGGCTCCATGTGCGCAGCCTGGGGCTTCTCCGCCAAGCGTGTGTGCTTTTGTGTTGTTCATTTGGAAGGAAGCAGACAGACTGCGACCAGGTGCCCTTTTCCCTAACTTTTGTTCTTTGCACTTTTACATCAGAACTCTGTCTTGCCTTCCCCCTTTTGCTGGAAACGGAGATGCACACCTGAAAGCCGTACAGCAGTGGGAGACGGTTTAAACCAAGGGTAGGGAATGTTTTTTTGCAGTGGGGGCTGCTAACCCACAGAAAAATCAGTCAGGCTGCAACACAAGCAAGAAGAAAACAAACCAACCCCCTCACTAGCGTGGCCCTGATGAAGGAGAAAGACACTTTCCCCCATTCCCCTCACTCACCAGAGCATAGGCAGCTCAGGCTAGTAGATTGTGTGCTCTAGTCCTATGGGCAGGGGGCAAGCAGACTGCAGGAAGCCTTAAGGGGACAGATCCAGGCAAGCAGGGGGCCTTAGATTCCCCCTGCCTGCTTTAAGCCCGTTCCACCACTACTTTGTAACTTCAGGGTGCTGCTAAAATTTCACTTCCATTTTTTAAAATGGGGGTTGCACATTGTCACAGGCTCTGCTCCCAGCTGTTCTCTGTGCAGAATAAGCTGAAGCATAGCCGCTGCAACGTAATGCATTAAGGCTGCAGATCCCAAAGCATGGCTCCTTGTAATGAAAGCTGAAGCATGACAACAAACATCAACTATTGCTGGCTGGTCAGTTCTGTGGGTCTCTTGGCGCTTGTGAGGTTATCCGCAACAAACGGTAGAAACCATCTCGGCAGATTACATGGAACTGAAGTGCGGTCATGGAGGGGGGGAAAAATAGGGCTAAGGACTCTCAGCCACTCTCCCATCACCAACCAACTGCAGCTCCACTCCTGGATTCTAGACTAGTCACACACCTCCTAAGCCCTGTATGGAGAGAGGGGGCTAGGAGGGTCATGGGGAATACCATCTCTTCCTCGCCATAAGAGAATGCAACAAGGTGCTCTGCTTGTAAACAGCATTACTAAAAGGCCGTCATTCGCAGCCTGCCCCACCCTAAAGAAAAGGAAAGTAGCAGATGAACGGACTTCAGTCACAGCAGTGATGGACCATGTCTCCCTTCAGTGTTTTATGATCAGTGAGACTTGGAGGCTACCAGGTGCCTGGCATCCCACATCATCAATGCGTGTGCCCCAGCTAACACCAAAACTCTGCTCAGCCTAAGAACTCCCTGCTCTGATTGAAGAAGGTAACGCCCAGGGCTGAACATTTAAAAATCAGAGCAGAGAAGCCCCCTGTGTATTACACCATGAACCACACCAGAACGAAACGGCACTGTCCCACAGCTAACCCAGATAGAACACTGGAGATGACTGTCTAGTTCCCCTCTGAGGAAAATTCAATTACAACACAACCAGCTGTTTAACAGCTCTTCTGATCAGCGCCCGAGTGGGGGGAATCACAGGCTGCCATCCCCAACCTGCCTGGATCTGGCTCCCGAGGCACAAGGTTTCCCCCCACATTGGGGAGATCGCACTGGTGCTCCTGCCACCCACCCTCGGGGCTGGAGAACACAATCTACTAAGCCTGCCCCCCCCCGCCAGGCTCTGGTGTGCAAGGGCAATGAGGGGAGCGTCTTTTTCCTTCTCAGTCCGGGCTTCTCACTTTGCTTCCCACTTGTGTGCAGCCCCTGACTGACTTTGCTGTGGGTCAGCAAAAAAAGGTTCCCCACCCCTGCAATAAAGTTTACAGTATGCAAATAAGCCCCAGCTAGCCATTTCAGGTCCCCTCCGCCCCCCGTTAAAAATAACCGAGTGCTCAACCATAAAGGATGGCCAAAAGCCTTCATTCCTCAGAGACTTAGCGCCACTATGGCATTAACATCGAACTCTACAGCCAGCGAGCCACAACCTCTTCATTAACAGTTTGGTCAACACAAAGGGAAGGTCGAATTAAGATCTGCAACTCCAGCTAGATGTTAATTACGTAGCTGGAGTTGACGTGACTTGTTTCATGTTTCCTGCTGTCTCCAGAGCAGAAAGCGGACAGGAGCAAATCCTCCTGTTGGCTTCCCTTACTCTTTGCAGAAGCAGGCATACCAGCCACCAATGGGGGCGCCCTCTGAGTTCAATTTAGCAAGTCTTAACTAGACTTGATAAATTGAATGCTGGAAAAAAAAAAATCGATCACAGGAGCATTGCTCTTCCGTTTAGTGAAGACATAGCCTTAGTATGGATGTTCTGAGCACCCAGGCAAGATGAAAACATCACATTAACTGGCCCAGATTCTGTAGCGGGATCTTTCTCAGAGTTCAGAAAGTGCTGCAATTTGATTAACATCCAGCACACCAGGCTGGACTATGTTCACAGCAGCGCTCTCTAGCTTCCCCAAACTTTAGAGAGTCTGAATTTTCGACTGTAATACAGTAGCCATCTCTCTCTCTTTCTACATACATATTTGCACTTCTAACAAAGGGTTATTAAAAAAACCCATTTAAGTATTTCCAGTGGCTGGATTCATTGGGTGCCACCATTCGATGACATAAGTGAAAAGGCAACAGGAACAAGCAGGCTTACAAGGAGAAGAGGACTGGAGACACTGAATTTGCTAGCTAGCAGCGATACCACCATCTAGACAGGCACTTAAGCACAACAGTTGAATAGGCTTCTAGTAACATGGTAGAGTCTAAAATTTCCTTACATGTAGGAGCCGTTCTGTACGGCTCAATGAAAAATTCTTTGGAGAACATAGCCCACTGGAATGTAAGTGGGGAGCTGTCATCAGTGGAAAGATCTCTCTCTTCTCACCTTCTACAATGAACTACCACCACTGAGCCCTCTGCTGAACAGACAGTAGCAGGAAGTTAAATAGAATTAGAAGTGGGGAGTCTTCCTTCCCTGGTTTATCTAGGCTGAGTTTTCTGAGGTAAGTGTCTAAAGTTAGTCATTTCACGGGCTGTTGTTCCAACTATAAAACACCTGAGTATATTCTCCAGTGACAGACACAGCAGCAGTGCATGCACAGCCCCAAATTCCCTTTGTAACAGCAACACGGATGAGGGCCAAGCATTGAAAGGTACTGGGTCAGGCCCTCAGATTCCTATTACACCAATGGGAATTCTGTGGTTAGCTTCCTCAATTGCCAACTGAAAAGTTATTTCTGAAGAGATGTTACATGCAAATGTGATTATAATGGAGCAAATCAGCTTAGCTTCCAGCATGCACAGCAAGAATTTAACAGATTCTAGAGGAAGCAGAGAATTTAACATGCCCGTGATAAATGTAACTTATTGGTGACATACTAAGTCAAGGAGTAGTTCAGAGCTTGTCTACAGCTTCAAAGTAGGTAAAGCTAAATAGCAACAAGGCTGTCTTGTTCCAGAACAAGGGCTGACGCATGGAGTTACTCAGGAACAGCTATCTTATTCTGAATTCACTTTATAGTTTAGATAAACTCTCGGTTAAAGGTAATCTGCATTTTGTTAACAATACAGAAAGCCGGTATGGCAGAGGCTCCCCCAAATAGATAAGGATACATTAAATAAATACATGTCCCATTTAAGGATGAAAAATGATCACCTAAAATGATTCTCTCTCCCCCCCCCCCTCTCCAATTTATTTCGAGTTTCCTTATCCCCTAATCATAACTCCGGTCATCTGAAGAAGTGGGCTGTGCCCATGAAAGCTCATGATACCATCTACATGTTTTGTTGGTCTATAAAGTGCTACCAGACCATTTGCTTGCTGTTTTTTTTCTAAAATGTAGAGGGCAGTTCTCCCTAATTCTGCAGGCATTAATAGACAAAGCACAGGCTTACTTTCCATATGTTGCAACTTAAGTGTTACGTACAAATTCAATTTTCTGTATGTAGGTGGGTTATTGTAATTTAGTCTGAGAGCCACAATTATTGCGACGCAGCAGTAAGTTTAGTTAGGATTACAATGTAGAACAAAGAAACATCTCATTAAAGCTGAAATCTCACTTTCAAAGGTACCCTGAGGAAGGAACCCACTGAACGGGCTAATATTGGAACAGCCTGCTGTTTTAGCTATCAACATTTGCAGTACATGGGCAACAATTTCCAACTTTTGGCTTTCAAAGAAAAGCCTGGTTTCCTTAAAGCTTTCTGAACACAATTAAAAAGCTCCCTTTCCTATTTTTCCTTTAATCAGTTTTGCAGTATAAAGTAGCTCCTTGAGTTTATTTCTCTGTCTCCCCCCATTCCCCCTCCGCCCAAACATCGTTGCCAGGTTAAGCCCTTCTAGACCAAGTTTTGGTACGGACACGTTTTAGACTCACAGAACCTGGAAGTGACCTTGAAAGACAGCAAGTCCAATCTCCTGCACTCACCACAGGACCAAGCATCATCTCTCATCCCTGAAAGGCATCTAACCTGCTCTTAAAAATGTCCAAATGATGGAAATTCCAGAACCACCCTAGGCAATTTATTCCAGTGGTTAACCCGCCTGAAAGGAAGTTTTTCCTAATGTCCAACCTAAACTGCCCTTGCTGCAATTTAAGCCCATTGTTGCTGCTTCTATCATCAGAGATCAAGGAGATGAATGTTTCTCCTTACTCCTTATAACACTTTTAAATAAAACAGTGACTCATTAAGCGTAATTACGAATTCACCACAAAGAAAAAAACAAACCCTAGGCTTAAATAACAAACATGTGAAACAAAGCTGAAATGCCAGGCAATTCAAAGGTAATGTAGTGATTAGGGAAACAACAATGAAGTAGAGTCTCTCCCTTAACTGCATTTTCTGGCTTTTTGTTTGTCACAATGTTTAAAGTCTCTAAAAAAAATACTGGATGAGGGAAAAAATTAAGACATCCTATTTTTACGTGTGTGTTAATATGCATTTAGTATGCCATAGTCTACCCTGTGCTTTCATAGTCAATGGATGTGACACATCCAAGGACAGAATATGGCCCTAATCATTCATATATAACCTCTTTGAAATTTATTTATCAAAATATTGTATGTTATTTTTAAACATGACAAATCCCTTGCAAATGGATACAGCAGTTAAACTGAGGCAGTCATACAGTTACACAACAGCAAAAAAGCATCATTCAGTGGGCTTGAGACCTATATAATCAAGATTTAAATAGCTTTAGAAAAAGTTTACCCTCAGCCTGAAGTCTGTCAACTCTTGGCTAACAGTGCAGTGAAACAAAGTGCTGCAGTTTATACTGACAGCGGCTTCAGGCAGGGCAGCTTAGTCTGTTTATAGTTCATAAATATACAGTATGTAAGATTCTGCTGAGATGTCTCGCAAGTTTCTTTTGCTCATGATTCTAACATGATCAAGCTACTTAAACTGTGTCAAGTCAAAACAATACCACTGTTCTGAGATCAGGCTAGCAGGCAGCACCAACAGCCACTCCCGTTTGTTAGGTACAGACTCACGTTCACTTTAGATTTCGAGTCAGCTGTTACAAGCCATAGCTCCCCTTTGATTAATCCCATAGGGTCGAAGACCTTGCTGCTCCCAACACTTAGTATTTTCAAAAGCAGAATGTGTAAGCACCCTTAAAAGCAATCTCTCTCCCTGCACATCTGTCTCTTATGGCTCTGCACTGGAGTGAAAATAGCCAGAGTATGAATTAATGCATTTACAGACATCGACGCTGCTGCTCCTGTGTCTTCTTCCTTCCCAGTGACCAACTTTTATTAGTTTGGAAGTGCTGCACTGTTGGCTGGTGATCAGCTTCCAACAGTCAATGAAATACTGTGCCAAGGAACCACTACTCTGTCTAAATCTGAGAAGAGTGGCATTTGACAAGGGGAAGGGGGAATATGTAGCAGCTTAGGATGTTTCCAGACTTCATATGGTTCACACCTGGATTGGATGGACATATTAACAATGGTGAATGCCTTCTGAATTGCCTGTTCCCTTTTAGATCTAAATCTAGGCCACTCCATGTAGACGGAGAAAGAAGGCGGCCGGCCGGTTGTCCACACAGCAGCATGTCCCAGGTACACAAGAATTTGGGATCACATCAGTTCTGTTTTCCCCTCAGGCAAGCTGATGAGGCCTAGAATCAGACACAGACGTTGCAAGAGTCATGCCACAGGTGTTAGTCCACAGAAGAGAGCAGTAAGGTCCAGATGCAAGTTTTCATGGACAGAAATCTCTGAGAATGGAGGAACACAGTAAGTTTCAGTTCCCCATTTTTTTATTGGGGGCGGTGGCAGGGAAATGAGTCCAAGGGAGGTTAGTCCGTCACAGCACAAAAAACAGGATAAGCACCACTAGTAAGATAACAAAGAGAATGATGATTGCACACCACTGTCGACGATCTGGAAGAAAAAGGAAACATTAGTTTTCTACTTCCTTGGGAAGAGGAAAACCGCTTCCCCCACTGCACTACTGAGGCCACAGTTTCAGCCAGAAAGAAGCTGTAGGGAAGGAAGCCTTTTAAAACTAGATCAACGTGAGGAATAATTCAGCCAGACTCTCCTTAGGAGAATCCCAGGAACCAGATTTAACCTCAGCAGCATTAATGCAGCTGGAAGCAAAGGGGCACCAGCAGTAGTTACTCAGCAAGCAGTCAGAAATCTTCCATGCTGGTGAGCTTTCTGGACCCTGGAAATATCAGCAAGAGAATGGCCACCAACAGGAAGGCAAGACTAACTTTTAAAGCAACACTTCGTTGCAAAAGTTAAACCTGCACTGCTCCTTTTAAAAAGCTGTCAACAGGACCTTGGTCTCTCCAAACCCGGCCTTAAAAATAACTGGTCCTGACTTCCTTCTTTGTTTGGGGCTTCAGCAAGATCTTGAGGTGAGCTGGATGGTGACCACAGTTTTGACACTAGACCTGCAAGCTGAATGGAGGAAGACGGGTGGCATCTTAGGAGCAGAATTTGTTAAAGCACTGGAAATAAGGCTGGCGGCTCGCTCTGTCTGTCTTTAGAACAGGCCATGGGACAGGTCTGTAGTGTGCAATGCACTTTAAAGGAGGAAGGAAAGATTTAGTGCTCTGGGAATTCTGCAGCTGTTGCATTTGGAGTCATAGTACAATTGCAGACTTCCCCCAGGACTGAACGACTGTCACTGTCATGCTGAGCTCCCCGCTGGCCATATCTACGTGGGCAAAGCTAGGCCCACACATCACCACTGGTGCAGCAAAGCCACAGGTAGCACTGTCGGTATCACGCATCTAACTACCGTAGCTTCCAGGCTGTGGCAGCCAGCTGAGCCACGCCCGAGGGCAACCACAGGTCCCAATCTTGCCAGAACTGGACCCTTAACTTGGGTGCAGGCGCTAATGGACACACTCCCACAAGCCATCTTTCTAACAAGGCCTGTCCTTCACAATTGAAGGAAACGGAAGTTTATTTCCTGATCATCAAACCAGTGTCTGGGAGGGGACACCGAAGTGAGTTGTTTGCCATCTGTCTGTGCTGCTAAGTGCCAGGTCACTTCAGCTCGCTGTTCACTAGCAAGACTAACCCAAATGCTGCAGTAATCCAACCGTTTGATTTCAGCTGTGGTTTGAACATGGCCTGAAGCGCTTCTCATCATGTGAGTCTGTGCTACTTACTGCCCATGGACAGCGACCCACAGAACATCAGGTCTGCAAAGGTAGGCACCAGCTGGTGATTTTCAATGGATCCCCAGCTAACTGGACAACTGACAGGCTGAAAGTATCTGTCTGCCCCATGTAACATACCCACTGCTTCTAGAGAGCCATGGCAGAGAAGAGAATACATCTAGGAAGACTAAGTGTACACATTGTGTTTATAAATGAACACAACTCTGGGGAATGACACTTCCTGGAAGTCAGCCCACACAATCAATCATACGTCCTGTTTTTTATTGTCCAGGGTATCCTGCCAGCTTTAAACCACCCCCCTCCAGGGTCAGGAAGTGCTCTTTTTTCCCTTGTAGGTAACACCTGCCTAGACTCCATCTTCCTTCTTGCTGGAAAGGAGCTTTTCATCTGACACTGTTCCAGCTGAGAGTTAAACTAAGCTCTTTCTGGCGTCTTCATTCTCAACACTGAAGCACTGGGAAAGAGATGGAGCACAAAGGGCAGCACAATACGATTAGAGCAGCTCTCATTCGTTTCCTGTTGCATTTTAGAGAAACCAGCCTGATGTCTTTCAGTTCTCAGGTGACAATCTCACCAGCTGAATGCATGAGCTCACTACTGGCTTCAGGCATTCAAGACAGAGATGAATTGTGAATGATTGCATGAGTGCTGAGTAGGCAGTTGCTACAGCAATAGTTTTGAGGGTTTTTTGGGCAACTTATCAAATAAGCTACTAAAAACCTACAATCTCTCCCTTAAACACTAAAACAGGGGTGGGGAACTTATGGCCCATGGGCCCGATTCAGCCCTCAGCAAGCCTCAGCACCCCCCCCTCCCGACATCCCAAATGCAAGAGAGGTTGTCTTTTTGTTTTTGGCTTCTCACTTGGGAGCCAGGTCAGCGAGGTGTGGCATCCAACCCCCTTCTCCCCACGCTTCTGACATGGGTGGCCCCCACGAATGATTTTTCTATAGGTCAGTGGCCCCAACCAAGAAAATTGTTCACCTATGCTCTAGAATTAAGCTTTTTGCTTTGGCAGCTTTGGTGGTGGCATTCCGGTGGCTGGGTGTGGTTTCCAAGCCTGAAGCGAAGATTCAAACTGGCTTTTGTTTTATTCTTAACAAGAACTCCCATAAAGCCAAACGCCACGCCAGAAGTACATTGCAGGCAGCTACTGCCTGAACTTCACAGCAGGGGGAAAAAGTTATCTACTTCTATGGGGTTTAACTCAAGTTCTCTAGCTTGCTTCATATTTAAAATATCCTCCAAGCTTGCAGGGAACCTACTGGAAAGTGGACCGATGCAAAAACTTTTACAGGTGTAGTCCCAAGGTACATGGTGTCACCATGTCAGTAACAAATGACCAAAAAATCCACAGGTGGGAAAAAAGGCCGAGGAACAGGCTAAAAAAAAAAAAAAAAAAAAAAGTCTCAGCATGAACTATAATTTGCCAGGCTCTATACTCAAGTAGCATATTATCTTTCCCTGGCTATTTACACACTGCCCTACTTCATGTCTTGCCATACTCTCAAAAAACATGACTTGACAAGCTACTCCACAGTAGCCCTAGCTCCAGGAAGCAACACAACGTATTTCAAACTTCAGACCATTGTGGCTTTCATGCCCTGGGTTAGAAGTCACATCCCATTTTCTACCACCTACCACTGGTCATGTGGGACACTTTTGCAAGCTTCTTCATCACATTATCAAGCCGTGACTGGGTGCTGTCTATCTCATGGGAGAAGTCATCCAACATCCTGGGGACAAAGGAGAAGGGAATTGTCAAGTACACAACCTAAGCAATTTATCCAGTGCACTGATTAGCTAGTGATGTGTCAAGGACTTCGCGACTGTTACACACTTATAAAAATAACCCAACCTCCTGGTAATGTACAACCTCTCCACCCCATTTTAGAGTCTTGTTAATAGTGTCAAACTGAAAAATTACTCAAGCAGCAGTTTTACTCTCATGGTATGAGAACTCTACATTTAGACTAATTTTCTAAGTGCCTTCCCCGGTTTTTGAAATCAGTACATAAGCTGGCTCTGATGATCTCTGCAAGGTCAGAAGCAGCTGATGAACATACTTTTTAAAAAGTAAGGATCCAAAAACTAGTAAAACGTGTTTAAACTTAAAACTATTTAAGGTCCAAAATGTCACTTTTTGTGAAAAGTGTTGTGGCTTAAGCTAAGAGCTTACTGTAAACAACGTTCCATGGCAGAACATTATTTGGCATTGCTGTTAAGTATCTTGGTTTCAAATGCTGTAGGAAGGTTACTAAAACCTTTCTGGAACCATTTCATCTGTCAATTCATTTTGAGAGAGAAGTACATCTAGGATAAATGTCGCATATATTCTTGAACAGGTAAGATTTTAAAGCTTCCTTGACCAGTTGTTTTGCTTTAAAAAGGATTGTTTCTTCTCTCCCACCATTGTCGGCTCTGTTCTCGCAAACTAGAAAATACTTCTTCCCACTCGGTTTGTTCTGTCTTTTGCCTCCCGCCTCCCCCATCTTTTTACCAGAATACAAGCTAACATTGCTTTGCCTTGTTTACTAGTATGTTGTTACCACTATAGTTCTGGGACCATGGTGTTAATTTGCAATCTGAGAGCTGCCTTGGTGGCAGCACACAAACACACTGAAGTTACATATCCAGTTTCTCAGTAAAAGTTAAATATTACTATTCAGAATCTGGAGGACTGCTTCTCTCCCCACAAACAAGGAGCTTTTGGGTATGAGCCACTACACTAGTCTTAGCAATTTCAGTTTAAATAAAACTATCTAGTGTCACTGGAAACTCCAGATATGCTATTTGACTAGAAGCTACATATATGGAAAGAAAAAATCTAATTTATATATAAATGTATGGATGAAAACTGCTGCTGTAAGCTCCCCTTTAATCCTTTGCAGGGGTAGAACTTTTAAAACTTTGAACAGCATTTGCGATCCCCGTGTCACTAATTGGGCTGGCTATTACAAAGCCACCATCAGCCAAGGATACTCAGCTCTTGTCCTTTCTGGTCACAGGCCCACAAACAGTTACATTTTAGTGTTATCGCCAGCCCTTCTCCATGTCTTATTCCTGAGCACTCCTACAGCTTGGGTTTGTTTCTCAGCACTCACACTGCTTGTTCCTCCAGCTCCCCACCAATGCGCTGAGACATGTTCTTCAGCACCCCAATGCTGCCAGAGACCAGCTCCAATTGCTCATCCTGCTGCTCCACAATCAGCTAGTACCAAAGAGAAGGGAAACAAGCAATTAACATCCCGCAGAGAACTGGTTCAGAGCTCAATGCTCTGACACAGCTCTGCTGCCTTGCCAATTTGGACAAGCAGAGTTTAGAAACAGGCTTGAATTTCTAGGGCCTAGTCCCATTATCTCTAATGAGTGGAAGAGACTAGAACTTAGTAACATTCTGATGACGCATGATGGAACAGAATCCAGATTGCTGAGTTACCAAGTACAAAGCAAGTCACCAAAATAATCAGATGCGACTGAATCAAGGGATGGCGTGGTTTTTACCAACGGTGGTTACTACCATCTATATTGGCAACAATAGTTAGTCCCAGTTTTTTAAATTTTCACTAAGGCACATGTTACACTTATGTTTTCCTTTGTTGCATCTGAAAGCCCAGATAAATCTGTTAATCTTTAAGATGCCACAAGTCTCCTAGTTGGTTTTGTGAATACAGACTAACATAGCTACCCCTCCATTTTAGTTGCATATTCAAGTTAGTTATTTAAGTTGCAGGGCTTTACAAATAAGTAAAATGGAGAAATGTAACTATGCTACTGAACACTGGAATGTGTATACATTTGGATTTGGTATTTTCTCAAGGAAGTGATGTTGTATAAGCAAACTGAAAACATTTGAGTCCAAGTCCATTTAGTGGTGCGGCATTCTGTAGCAGCAGACCAACTTTGATGTTGTGGCTGTTCCTCTTTTGAATCAATGTATCCCATGTTTGGAAAGATTTGTTCTAGGGCTGCTGAACGTGCTGGACACTGAAGCCAGTGTTTACTAGCAGCCACTCCTAAACTAATTTTTCCTGGGGAATTGCCAGCTATACTCTGAATACACCAAAGAAACAATTGCTGAGTAAGACTATGCCTTCTGACATTTGTACACAAACCCACTTTAAGGCTCTAGCTAGCAACTGCTCTTTATAAGGTCAGTAGGAACAATCCCAGCTACAATCATTTAAAAAGCAGAAAAAAGTTGCTTGTTAGGAGATGCTTTGTGGAGAACGATACCAAAACCTCACTCAGAAGAGGATTATTTCTCCTAAGAAGCGATGCTTGGGAGGGCAGCTACATCCAGACAATTCCCCAAATGAGCTTGCAACCGTCAGAGGAAACTATCCTACAATACTCCCTAGCAGCACTAACGACTGATTTTCTATTAAATCATAACTATTGTCAAAAAAACAAAGAAGTAGACATTAGCCCATGGAACTAGCTTAGCATCACATTTTACTTAGCATCACAGCCATCTTGGTTAGCCTCGCTTAAGCGGGCAGAACCCATAATTCTAGGTTTGTCCCCTACACTGGCTCCGTAGCTAATTCAAGGTTCTGATCCTAATCTTGAATGCACTAGATCAGTGTTCAGATAAGGTGATGAACACAGTACAAGTACTTAAGGAGTGGGGCCCTGCTAACTCAGAACATTTTAGTTCAGTGGCATTTGCTCTCAGGAGAGAAGCTGAAATTGTCCATGCCCACATCAGAATTCTCTGCAGTTAGTTTCAGTGGAGGTTCTCTAACCAGCAAGTCTCCTTTCTACAAGTGATCAGAATAAGCTTAACCCAAGCTGTTTCTAGGGGAAAATAGAAATTCCATATCCTTCCCTCCCCCTCAAAAGTCTTAGTACAATAGAAGCTAAAAGCACACATCAAAAAAAGACAAGAGAGTTTACGATAAGGGTTCATTACAGATCAGTTGAAGTCAGCATTATAATTAACAGATTCTATAGTGAAGGGCCCAGTTAAAGGTGGAAAAATGCATTTTCCCATCTTTGGGAGATGAAAGGTCAATGCAGCAATGTTAAGGGGAATATTTAATGCAATAGCCCTATCTGAATCTTTATTCAAGATGCATGTAAAAGCAGTCATTTTAAAACTGGAATGGAAGAAGCTGGCAATATCAGGCATCTTATGTTTCTATGCTTCACAAAGGATTTCATTGGCATTTGGTAGCTTTCAGGCACCTTCCACAGACCCATACACCCAAGCCCTAAGGTTTATGTGCCAAAACGTACACACCAAAATCACATTAAGCACAGTCAATAGTTAGGTGCCTACTACAGATATGTATTGAGCAAGAAGATGGCTCATGGCTTCAAAGCATGCTGAATATCTGAAGACTTTTGGCTGTTACTGCCTGTAACACCATCTCTTTGCAAGGGCTCCCCATCCACTGTGATGCAGGAAATACTATACCTGTTGCTGAGCCTGCTGCTCCTCAATGAAGTGTGAATTGGCTAACTGCAGCTCTCGATCCAAACGGCCATATTTATCTGAGCCAGAGTTCCAATTCTGACCTCCACTTTCTCCCAGAAGCGCCTGTATACACACACACAGGAAAATTTAATCAGGAAGATACTCCAAGATATGGACACACGTCACCTAACCCCTAGCTGCAGGAAAGAGGACCAAGTACTGAAGTAACTCATGTTATTCAGAGCATACATACAAGCCATTCTCCTTCCAGCTCTATTTCTATTCCAGCAGCAAAGAGCTGTAGATGCTGGCCCCTTACCAGGAGAATGGAAGGAATGTTAGGGTCAGAATGTTCTGCAGTTGGGCAGCTGGTCAGACCGTTCTGTGAGTGCTGCAATTGGGCAGCTGGTGAGAAGGAACAAATATGAAGAAAAGTGCAGTGAGTGTGTCTGGACCTATTTGGTGAGTGAGAGAAGAGGATCAGGCACTAAACAAAGGTTAACAGGTGGCAAGTCAGGAGGGAAGGGGAAAATATCAGAAGGCAAACAGTAAACCACGAGAGACTAAACCCTGCCCCCAAAAAGGTTGAGTACATGTCTGGTTCTCTCTACTGATTAAAATTAGTTCCGGCTAGGACTTCCTGGTTCAGGGGTGGCAAGCAGTATTCCCTGTCAGCAGGGCGCTCGTGTGGCCACTTAGGAGAAATTCCAATGTTGCCCAGGTGATTAGTAGAGCGCCCATAGCTAGGTTTTTTCTTTCTATTGGTGGTGCACATGAAATTTAGTCTGCACATGGATGGACAAGATTAGAGGGAACATTGGTAGCAAGTACCAATCGTAGTGTTATTTATCATGGTATTCGAGTGCAGGGTGCCACAACCATCTCTGGGATAAACAATTCCATGTTTTCTAACTCAGTTACTCAGCGCTTGCAAACTAACAGACACCTAGGCAGATGAACACACAAGAAACTAAGTATCACTACCATGGAACAAACAAACAAAAATAAATTACCACTTTAGACTTTCAGCAGTCACTCAGAATTGCTACTGGTCACCACTAAGTGAACTTGCAGTCTTGTAGCTATAGTCCAGAATATTGTCAAAACTACTTTTAATGAGCCAGCATTCAGGTGAACTCATTACAGCATGACGCTAATATGTCAGCAGTGGCTTTCTAGAGGTCATAACTTCCTTCAGACTGAAAAGGAATTGGGGAAAGAAAGGAACTCCAAAAAAAGTCCCTGCAAATTCAGTAGCTTGCTCCAAAGTTATCAATACTAGAATTGGGTCATACTTTTCTGTCTCAGCTGCATTATTTACTCCTGGCAAAATCCAGATACAGAAGAAGTAGGTCAATCCTTGGGGGGGCCATTTAGGGATCTGGGGCAAATCTGTCAGGGATGGTACTTGGTCCTGCTGTGAGGGCAGGGGACTGGACTCGATGACCTCAAGGTCCCTTCCATCTCTATGAGATGGTATATCTCCATATATTAAACCAGAGCAAACTGTGTCTGTAAGAACAAGTGTTCTCACTGGTTACAAGCCACAAAATGGTTCCTTTTCCAGTTTAAGAAAAATATTGTGAAAAAAAGCTTCTTGAGGAAACAAAGTAAGATGCATACTGGCAGTAAGGTGTTTAAATAAGTATTTATTTTGTTTAATACTAGCGTTTTACCTTAAGGTACATGAGCCCCTTAGAAAGTCAGTGCACTTTCATCCAACACATAGCATAAGTCAGCAGCTACTATACTTGAAATACTGGAAGGAGTTATCTATCATTTTGAAGGATTCTTGTGGCTACTGGTTCTCACCTGCCTGTTTTTCCTTTCAGCCAGTGCCTGTACAGATGAGTTAGACATCTGATCCTTCATTTCCTGTTTATTCAAGAAAAAAGCATAGGATCAAAGTTTAAATGATATCCATTCTTTTAGCAAACTGGCATAATTAAACACACATAGCAAGTTTTATGTAGGATCAAAAAGCCCTTTAGACATGTGCTTTTTAAAACTGTTGGAAGACAAAAGTACTATTACAATTCACAACTGCACTAATGCTAAGGAAAACATTAATGCTGCTTCGAAACCCTTGTGGCAGAATATTTTGAAAATGTTAGAGATTTACTACTGGTTTTGCTCCTCCCCATTCTCCACTACTATAACAATGCTTGACTTGTGTAGTCGTCTGAAGGAATATTCTTCCCTAAGTGGTATATGTGAAGGACTGTGTTCTAGCGGCTGGAAGTCAGGCCTGCATTTTCCCCTCATGAAGTGCCAAGCTGCACAAGCCACTTTCTGTGCTTGAATTTCTCTGAAATAACATGGGTATAATTCTCTCTTAAGTCACTGTGAAAGTGCATGGAAGTCTTCTTTAACCAATTTTTAAAGCCCACTCTGAACTCTTAAGCCACTATGATAGCAGACAACTTTGAAAACTAGTTACATTCAGAACAGTCTATACCAGCGATGGGCAACCACAATTAATAAGTGGGTCACATGAGTGGCCCTCCATACTAGTGGGTGGCATGCACATGCCCTCTCTTCTCCCTACCCCACACCTCTCTCACATACTAGGCTACTGGACCCCGCACTTATCTTCTCCTTGAAGCGGACAGGGGACTGCAGACAGGGGAGTTGAAGAGGGAGTTGAGCAGAGGGAGTGACTGATGGTGATGAAGACCCGAAGCGCTTGTGCCAGTACTTCTCCTGTCTCCTCCACCTGTGCCTGTATCCAGACAGAGAACCTGAGCATGGATGCCTCTACCCAGGTCCTGGTGTGGTCTTGCTGTAGTTGTGGCTTGCAATTCCCACTGAGTGATCTCCAGGCTGGGGGAGACAACCGTTGTGAAAGGTGCCTGCTGGTGGAATCTCTCAGGCAGCAGGTGGGAGAGCTACAGGAGGAGGTGGCCAGGCTGAGGAGCATTCGAAGCCATGAGGAATTCCTGGACAGTATTCCTGTGGAGTCCACGGAGGTCACTGCCCTAGGAGGTGGGACTGTTGACCAGCCACGTATGGAGGAGGCGGTGGTGCAGGGTGAGCACTGGCAGCTGGTTACTTCAGGCAGCAGGCAGTGTTCCACCCCTGCTCCTAACCCTCCCACTGTGTTGTTACATAACCGTTACACTTTACTTTCTGCAGGAGACAAGGAGTCACCACCCACAGTGGAGGAGACCAGGCCTTGCACCACCAAGGTCGAGCAGTCTCCTGCCACCACTGCGCGGAAG